TTCTGTCCAGAGTCGCGGTCCACTGCCACCACCTTGGTGACCAGGTATCCAGGCTCTGCCGCCCTGGGCAGCAGTTCTGTGCAGGGCGCAGAGGCGTTCTGCAGCGGGTAGAGCACGAAGGGCACATTGTCGTTGGCGTCCAGCACCAGCACTCGCACCAGCGCCTGGCTGCTGAGCACAGGAGAGCCTTGGTCTGTGGCGCCCACCTGGAACTCGAAGGTCTCCAGGGCCTCGTAGTCCAGCGCCCTGAGTGCGAACAGTTGCCCATTGTCGGCATTGATGGAGATAAGCGAGTCGAGGGCCAGCTGCGGGTCATGGGTGGGCAGCAAAGAGTAGGTGATGTGGGCATTGGAGCCTGAGTCTGAATCTGTGGCACTGATGGTGCCTATGTGCAGGGCAGGGCTGTTGTTCTCCTGGACAAACAGGGTGTAGGAGGTTTGTGTGAAGGCGGGGGCGTTGTCATTGACATCGGACACCTGCACTGTTATGGTGTGCTGTGTTGTGAGCCTGGGTGTGCCCATGTCGGTGACTGTGATGGTGATGTTGTACTCAGCTCTGCTCTCTCTGTCCAGCCCTCCTTCTGTCATCAGTCTATAGAAGTTCCCAACGGAAGGGTCTAGTGTAAAGGGGACACCATCCTGTATGGAACATACTGTCTTTCCATTTTCCCCAGAGTCTCGGTCCCGAATCCGAAATAGAGCCACTTCTGTCTCCGGTGAATTTTCTGGTACGGGGCTGGTCAGCGAAGAAATAGTTAGTTCTGGGTAATTATCATTGACATCCACCACTTGAATAGATACTGAGCATTTTCCAGAAAGCCCCCCGCCATCGGATGCCTCTAGGTCTATTTCATATGAAGATGTTGTCTCAAAGTCCAGTGTTTTAATTAGTCGAATCTCTCCTGACAGAGCATTTAGCTCAAAAGTTTTGCTCATCTCCTGAGAACTATGAAAAAGAGTGTACGATACTTCTCCGTTTGTTCCACTGTCTAAATCCTTGGCTGTGACCTTAGCAACTAGGGAACCCACCGGGCTGTTCTCTAAAATTTGCACCTGATAGAGCGCCTGCGCAAACTCAGGGGCGTTGTCATTGACATCCAAGACAATAATCCGGATTTGTGAGGTGCCAGTCTTGGGCGGAGAACCACCATCCAGCGCTGTCAGAGTTAACCTGAACTCTGCCTGCTCCTCACGATCAAGTCCTTTGTCCAGCACCAGCTCTGGATATTTCCTCCCATCACCTCGGTTTCGGATGGAAACATGGAAATGAGAATTGGTACTAAGGTTATAGTTCTGAATGCTGTTGTTGCCCACATCCAAATCCTGAGCGCGTTTGAGAAGAAACACAGCCCCAATAGAGCTAGTCTCCACGATTTTTACGGTCATTTCTCTTTCAGGAAACTCGGGAGAATGATCATTTATGTCTCCCACTCGTAGCTCAGCTCGAAATATTTCCAGTGGGTTTTTCAGTAACACTTGGAAATGAGTGACACAGGGTTCATTGGGGCCGCACAGCTCTTCCCGGTCCAGTTTTTCATTTAATATTAGCTTCCCAGTCTGTAGATCAAGCTGCAGGTGTGATTCGTTATCCTCAGAGACCACCTGGGCTCCTCGAGCAGCTAGCTCCGCAACTCCCAGCCCTAGGTCCTTGACTAGATCAGCCAAAACCGTGCCGCTTGGTGTTTCCTCCAACACAAAGTAACGGCGGGGCTCCCAGCCCGCCCCAGCCACTCCCAGTAAGATAAAGATCAACAGAACTTGCCTTTGTCTGCTCTCTCTTCCAATCTTCATCTTTGCTTCCACACCCAGCTAGGATGCAAGGGCACCCAGACAGCGGTCGATCAGTTTATAGCCTGTTCCGATGTGTAAATTAGCAGCATTCTCTGTAAAATTAACGGTTTGAGCTCCGCCTAAGGTCTTTTCAGCTAGAGATCTGAAGAAGCATTTTTTTTTTTCCCTTTTCCGCGTTCGTCCTTTCTTAAGCCTTAGCCAGCAGCGCCACCATGCGTTGATTTTGCTTCTCAGCCGATCGCTGCATGGTTCCATTCTTTTTATAGTCTATTTGGTTGTCAGAAGTTTGGAAATAAATTCAATCACCGAACAACGTTATTTTGATTATGCAGTCCCTCACTAAACAAAAAGAATCCTTGTTTTTAATGCGTCGGATTCTGAAAAATACAGGAATAAACAACCTCGACAAGCTGCCTACCTATTAGAAGCCCTACAGTCAGTGTTGGGGCACTCTAGGGGAAACAGAAATGAAAGAAGACAGTACTGATTGATCAGTCATCTTATACAGTTAGTAACACATAGCCATGCAATTTAAAATTCAGCATAAAGTGGGGGTCAATACTTCTGGGGCTTCTTTTATCACTTTATGTCTCCCAGGTAACAGGATTGTGGTTCCCATTGGTAAAGTTTCATAAAGGAAAAAAAAATCTACATGTTAGTTCCAGTTTATGATACACTTCCTACATATGGTCAGGAACTTAAATTTTTTTATAAAACTTTTTGCCTATGAGAAAACTCATACGAAAGCACCTTTCACTCCATTTCCTTTTACTCCATGTTCTCTCTGGTGTTTTCCCTCACACCAGATGTAGCAGATGAATATATTTGGTCATTTCCTTTGTGTAACCTGTAAGCAATTCAGCACTCTTTACTGCACTGCTGCACCACAATATCTAAACTAATCCTTGGGACAGAGAAGATGCTCAGTAAACATTTGCATAATTCATCATAGAATAAAACACAAAATTGTGTGCCCTTTCCTCCTACTGTAGATGCCTCTTGCTTTGTTGGGATCCTAACTCTTTTTTTTTTTTTTGGTTTTTCGAGACAGGGTTTCTCTGTGTAGCTTTGTGCCTTTCCTGGAACTCGCTTTGGAGACCAGGCTGGCCTCGAACTCACAGAGATCCGCCTGCCTCTGCCTCCCGAGTGCTGGGATTAAAGGCGTGTGCCACCACCGCCCGGCCTATCTCATTTTATAATAAGCTGTATAAACAAGACAGCATTTTCTCAGGTAGCAGCTCTCTGTACTCTTTCAGTAGTCACATGAAATAACCGAGGGTCTAAACCATCTTTTCATTAAAGGAAAAACACTGTGGCTTGTCCTAACAAAAGAGGTCTTGAGGCCCAGCCCTGTCCTTAGGATCTTGCCTCAGCATCCTGAGAGGACCACCACTCCTATCCTCAAAATTACCCATTTAGACCAAAGATTCACAGTGCCTTTCCATGTAACTGCAATAGTTTACAAACTTTTTGATTTGTGTTATAGTAGCTCAATGAAAGTACAAAATTAACAGGAATAATTCACCAATGTAGGCAGGAATATCTAAGTATGCTTTAAAACAAAAACAAAAACAAAAACAAAAAAACCAACCAACCAACCAACCAACCAACCAACCAACCAACCTCTACTGAGCTGGACTAGAAAAATCTATTACATGAGCACATCTTAATTCTCTGTCCCCAGGCTCACCCAACAGTGAAAGGTTACTTGGGGATTACTAAAAAGAACATCCTCTGCAGGACCTCTGTCCTCTCCTCCCTCAGAGGTTTGAGATGACGTCACTTTGTTGTAATATTCCTAAGAGAAAGACTAGAATACATTTGGTTTCTAAAGTGATTTTAAAAATAAACAGGATCAGACTGGCTCAGCTTAAAATAGCAGTTCCCATCATTTTGTCCAATTGTCTGAAACCATAGAGGGACCCAAGTTGTATGAAACAAATCAAACTTTGATCCCATACCTATGCTGAAGAGAGAGATTTTCAGGAAATGTGAGGTGGGCTAGCCAGATGTCACAGGAGGGATCTGGCATTTTATAAATTTTGAGATAATCTAAAAATATTTTATCAATATTCATATGTATTACATGCTGGATGTTCATATGAAGATAATAAAAGCCTTGGCACTTCAGAGAATTGTCTTTCCAATTAAAACTGCTGTACAACAAAATCATGCATTTCAGATACTCTATTCTAGATAGTAAAGCATAATATACAGAAGGTACACTGACAATTCATGACATCTCTATCACATTTCAAATCTTTTGGAAATGTTTCTGTACAACAATCAAATAAAACGAAGGTGAGTATTTTCAAATCAATAATGATTTATGTTGAGAATCTGACAAGTTGAAGAAACACCATGACTTTCAAGGAATGAGTAAAGTTTTATGTCTTTATCAAGAAGTGATTTTTTAAAAAGAGACTAACCTGTAAGGGGATGCATGGAACTTACCATCTCCTGAATTAGGAAAATAAAGACAAAACATTAGAAATTCCTTATGAAGATAAAATAGTGGAAAACAAGAATATTTAGAAAGAATGAACACTCATCCAGAACCATCTAAAAAGTCAACAAATTGTTAGTTGTATTCAAAACCACTTAAAGAAGTAGAATTCTCTTCCACACAATTCACAACCTCATGGTTGGGAGACACAGACTTTAGGAACCGAAAATTTTTGGTATCCGACACTCCAGTCAGACA